ACCAATTGAAGGTGCCTTCGGAGTACGTACGAGTGTTGCTTTAAAATACACGTGGTGTAGGCTCTTCAGGCTGACGGTTCTGAATGCAAGGGACCTGTTGGGTGGCAAGATTTACCGTTTCTCCATTGAATAATAAAACAGCAAAGGGTAGGAGTATGCGAGCATCATCTCATGGCAGAGTGCAAAACTGGGACGAACAAATATCGCCAAGCAAACGATTGACACCGGTGGACACTGTGGAATACACGATAGCCATTGGCGACGCAACACCGATCTAGCAATTAAAGGTACCCTTTGATACACCCAACTAGGCTGAAACCACTCCTGCTCCTCACCACCGCTGAGACGATTAGCGGAGACTCAGGCACAGGCATAGCGTGGATCCCATTGATGGTTAACGGAAACATCGCCACTACTAACACCTCATGCGTAGTCGTTGTCTATGTGGTTACACCATTTAACAGACGTCAGCCCCTCATTAGTGTTTCGACATGCATTTGTCAGGGGATCCGAGCGTAGCTCAGAACATCCTCCTCTGCCTCAACCCAATACAAAGCCATTCCGCATCTCTGCTTCACCACCTTGCGATATAAACAAACGCAAGCCGAAACGGTAAATATTGTCCTGCGAAGGTCGCATCGACGTGCATTCTACGTCAATGCACTGTTTTGTTTGGTTAGACTGTCGCAGTGCTGCACCACGATTGAGATTGTATCTCTACATCTCATTTGGTTTTTACGGATGCGATGATGTTAATTGGATCGGGGCTTGTTGACGAAGGCGCAGGATGTGTGGAGGGGAAGGTGGAATTCTACCGTAGAAAGCGAAGAGAAACACAACTTGGTGTTCTGGCTCTATTGTTATCGAGTCTGCTGAGTATACGTCCATGTTAGAGGCTGCGGTGATGGTGAAGTACACTTTGGCAAATAGTGACCGCTAATGCTTTTTCATTAAAATAGGATTTTGTAAAGTGTGGTACGGCGCGGCGCGGCTAGGTGGGGTGCTGTGATCCCTCCGCTCGTGCCGTCGTGGGCAGGAAAGCCCGGTTGTCAATGTGGATGAGGAGTGCTGATATGTGTAGGGGGCAAGTCGCCGTATTAAAAGTGTACGTGACTGTGTATGTGTTTGCATAGCATTATGTTATGCTTTTGACGCATTTACTTGGATGACATCTGCCTCATGGAAGATTGTTTAGTGGTTAAATGGAGGTTTATGCTAGTGCTCCCACTGTCACTGTTGGTAGTGAAAGTGTTTTCATTCAGCACTGGTGTATGTGAAATGTTGGCAGAATTGATTCCTTGCTCATGCACTAGGTAAATCCACCCACTGCTCACTTCGCTAGCTGACACTTCACTCGCACCAAGGCTGCGCTTAAGAGAGATTTGCGGAGTGAAGGAACGCCTTCACCAGGTTAGTGTGGATTTGTTAATGTATGGGATTTTCATTTGCGGAGGTGGCGGTGAACCTGTAGTGCCTAATGCGCAGCTTGTGGGGTGATGGTGAAGGAGGTGGTGCAGGAATGCGGAATGCGTTTGCACTTGGTTAAGGAAGAGGCGGAAGTACGAAGCCATGCTGGAGCCCCTGAATATTGCATGTAGTACCACTAGTGAAAGACTGACGTCTGTCACATAATCCATCCACATCGACAACAGCTACGCACGAGGTATTAGTAGTGGTGATGTGTCCACGCGCCATCAGTGTGATCCACTCCTCGTGTGTGCCCGAGTCTGCGGTGTTGGCTTCATCCGTTTGTACTGAACAGTGGTGGCTCCACCCTTGCTGGGCGTATCAAAGGGCGACTTCACAAACAAAGTGCAGTAGTTGTGACATTGGAATGCATTGTACCTACGCAATCCTCCAAATAGCATTTCTATGAAAGTCTTTACCCGTTTCATGATGGCATTTGTCATTGCGCTCCCGGCTGTACCAATTGTGTAAGGTGTTGTGGCTGGGCGTTTAAGTGAATGACAAGCATTGGTGCATGCCCATGGATACGACCTCATCACCAATGGTAGAGGTCGCTTCATATGGGCTGCAAAGCTGGCCGAATGGATGAGAGGCGGTATGGGAAGACATGGAGTTGGCTAATGTTAATTAGGTGAGAAAGAGCCCTTATTGTACAAATGCTGCACATGACAGACATGGTGACGATCGAGCATTACCAACAGTGCATTGCACGAATCCATGCTCTCTGTGTCGATCCTCGAGTCCCACGCTACCCTTGCCAGTTGTGTCCAACAAACCTTAGTCATTTACCGCTGTACAATCCGTGCGTTTGCCTAGTAGTAGCAGTGGCAGGGATAGGTGATATGAAGTTGGCGGCGAGCTTCACCACTGACGTCGAATGTCATTGATAAGTAGGCGGATGTATAATGAGGCAAGTGTTACTTCACAGGTATTTTGATGATGTCTGACGTGTACGTTTGTGTGTTCGAAAGCAACTTTGGATGCAGGCAGCCTTAGTGCCCAGCAAGGGAGCCCTCCCATCCCACGTAAGCACTGTTCCATTTTGACACCACCATCGCCAATGTTGCTTGGGGAAAGGTAGGAAGAAACCTTCATGAAGTACAACATCCTGGGACTGAATGAAGAAGAGGTGGGAGATTGCACGTCGGGGCTTTAAGCTCTACCCTCATCAGTCCGTTGTATGTTGCGTCCTTTGGTTTTCGATTGGTTTTTTCTTTTATTCCCTGCAACACATGATTTACCCACTTGAGGAAGTGAATGCTCAGAACCGGAGGCTAAATTTGCTGACAAATACTGTTTTGTGTCATCCGCATGCAAAACAAGCAGTCATGTGCCGTTGTCGACCTAAAGATAGCTGTGAATGCATACTAAAGATTGGGATGTGCCTTCGTTTTTCCATCGACCCGCCTCTAGCTCGACAGCTATGTAGAAGCTCATGAGCGCCGGCCTGGATTGTGCCAAAAGTATCGCCCCGACCTTGTTTGGTTTTGCGTATACCTTGCCCTTCATGCCAGTGTCCCACTCCCCTACCTCTTACCGCCTGCACTGCGAAGGATGTGAAACTCATTTGGTCGATTTACATCTCGTTGTAGAGGTGCTTCTTCTCACCGGTTTCAATGGTGTTCGTCCATCATACTAAAGCGATTTATTCCAAACGCAGAGCGGAAGATTCAACAATGGCTGGGAGTGGGAGTTCTCTGTGCCGTGGATGTGCAAGAGAACTGAAGTAATGAGTCGCACACAACAGATTTGGAAGTCGAGCATTTTGATTGAACTCCCCATGCCATCAAATAAGTCACAAAGCGGAGAACACTTTAGCAGTTATCTCGCACAATCGGACAGTGTTCTGTAGGAGGTTGGCACTTCAAGTTACCGATGGGATAAAAAAGCCGCAATCAACTCTCAACTTATCTGCAATGTGATTTTCTCCCCTTATATGCAGGCGAAACAACTTTGTTTCTTGGGGTAGAGGTGGTGGCTACAAACAGCCGGAAGTGCGGCCAGTCCTCCATCATTCACATCAGTGGTGCGGCCCTTTTGCAGCTTCTCGGTCTCCTCTACGCCAAGAATTTCAAGTACATATAGATGAAATTAAAATTGTGCAGTCGGCAGAGACTTCCTGTCTAAGTTATTCAGCAGATGACGTCCTGTGGCCCTTTTTGAGCTTCGCAAAAGCCCACACTGAACCCTTGTTGGACAAATGACAACAATGATTACGCAAAAGTGTGCACACTCAGCAAGGCCTACTCACACTCGAACACCAGGCTTGGATGTGCACTTTGGCACTCCCCCCAACCATCACTTAGTTGCCCTCACTTGTTCAACAATCGTGCTAACGCACATGGGTTATTAAAGCTTCTCCTCTGAAGTCCCAATTGAGAGCTTCATAGGCATCCGGACATTCGCGCCCTACAGACTGCAGTACATTACGTTCTGCAGTACCTTTCATGCAATTTGCCTGCCCAATTTACGACATACATCTTCTTCTTTACAGCCACATTTTGACCAGTCGCTATGGCCGTCGTACTCAAGCACTGGTCACAATGGATAGGGTGTCAGTGCTAGGAGTTGAGAGTCCTCGGAGGCCTCGGCGATCAAGCTCTACTGCGAGCGATCTGTGCCAGACTCCAGAGAACGAGACAATTTCCCCCATTCTGTCCCTTCTTCTTGCTTCTGCGCTGAAGCGAGATGTATTCCGGATTGGGTTTGAATAATTTGATTCACCATTTCGGATGCAAGTCTTCTTGAAAGCATTGGGTCTGCGTTGGCCTTGGTACTAGGGAGGTCTGCTTTCCTTGTGTGGCTAGCATTCACCCGGCATGCCTCTTCACTTACCTTCGTTCAGTCGCGACTCGTCAACGTCACTTGCGCAGGGACGTGGGCATGTAGCGCTGAAGTCTGTCCTCTGATTACTAGGGTTGAGGCGCGGACAGAAGCCAAGGTTACGTGCTTGAATACCAATTCATAGCACTAGGCAGCATATCCACAGTACGATTGCGCACTGCAGACTCAATTAGTTGACCTAACGCGCAAAAATTGAATCTTCTCTAATTGCTGTACTTCGTGGTCCAGGAGGTGGAACCCGAGGTAGTTATAAGGAAACGTTAACTCAAATCCTAACTGCCTGGACCCAGCATTCGTTGCTGCTATCCACTTCTGCAAGGTGAGGTGCTGGAACAGCCTGCAACCTCACAAATGCATTTCTGCACAAGTTTCTGGAGGTGTTCCGCTTGTGAATAATTCCCCTAACACCCTAAAATCACTTTCCTCTTTGGTCGCCTTTACGTGCACCAATCATCACTCTAACTACATGGTCAATCAGTCACCGCAATTACGTGCCACCAAGACGACTGAGTGCCTCACACGCGGATTCAGTCTTCTGCCGTGTCCACTGGCAGGCGGAGAGGCTCAAGGGCTACCGGCGGTACCGATGTGCTAACTGACATCCATCTGACGGTAAAAACACTTATTCTGTTTAGCTGGACAGGCGTTCGATAGGACTCAGGACACACGGACACAATTGCCGAGACAGTTTGCAACACCACCCTTAACTCCCAACGTAAAGTGCGTGTCAATCTTCAAGCAGCATATCATACATAAGATCCGCGGAATGCTTAATACAGAGCACACAATTTTGGCCACCGAGGAGAAGGGGGAGGAGGAGAAGGAGCGGGGAATAAGTATCAAAAATTGGCCATTCACTCTGCCTGAATGAAGGTGGAGGTTCCGGCTGCCGAACAACATTCCGTTTTGACACGAACGAACTCCCGCGCAACCTCGTCGGTGGCAAGTCGTTGCGAGAGGATGCGCAGCACGGTCCAGCCAGCCTCTGACTGCGTCTGTCTGCGCGTCAGTGGCAGTCGTACTGGCGCCGAGCCACCCAAGTCAAGTGCCTGCGAGAGTGTTAGCAGGCTGCTCGCTACAAGGCGATCGCTGCGACCAAAGCAGTAGTCCTTCACCACAAATTGCAACTCATACCACTCGGGATCACTGCGACTTGAAAGGTAGCTGAAAGCACACCCACACTGAGGCATTATGCTAGCTGAGAGAAGTAGTGCACTGAAGACCATCCCTTCCCCACACAATGAACACCATCAACTGCGTCACCGTTTCTGATCCTTCGCTTCGTCCACCCCTTCACCCACCTGTGTTTCCTCTAATTACTCAGTCAATAAAGCATTCTTTAGCCCACTTCTGTGGCAATCACTGCATGAAAAACCTAAATGCTGCTCGAAGTAATCAACACAAAGTGCTCCACAATTTCCCAAATGAGTCTCCAACGAATTAGCAATAAATACTTGTGGTGGGTGATGGAACCAGAGGAAAGAATAAGGCATTGAAGACACCTACTAGACAAAGGTCTCGTTGAAGAGCGGTGAGATGGTGCCCGATTTGGATTTTGTCGTGAATCGTCGTTTGCAGTCTGTCAGAAGCGGTCCAAAGAGGTAGACTTCGACGAAGGGGCGGAAAAGCCCCGAGACCATTACCCCACTGAGGTCAGAAGCTGAGAGAACTGCAAAAACATACAAATTCGTTCGCATCAACATGTGTGCATCTCGACTTGCAGGTGTGCTCATCCATTTACCCGCCTATCCATCTACCCCCTATCCACATGTACATTCGTCACCTCGCCATTGGTAACTCAGTCAAACCCTTTTCGATTTGACAAGTCTTCTGACATCTTTCAGGGCCATGTTCAACCACCTAGTCAACCAGTCCACTTGACCACCTGCTTCCACAATCTCTACCCCATCAATCTATCCTACGTCAGCCAAACCTTTCCTCCATCCACGCCTTCAACGCTCGGCACACTCCACCGTCTCTCCGGGCATTCCTACAAGCTACAATCCATTAGGCGCTCATACATCATTCACTACCTAATTCTACACAAGAGTGATTCATTCATCTTGCCTTCAACCTCCGCTTTTATGAGTTTACACAATCGTGTTTCAAGCACACACAATCCATTCACAAATTTGGCCTTTCTGATCTCATTTATTATATCACTCTCTATGCAGCGAACTGCGTGTATTGATACGCTTTTTGGCCCCACACAGACGGAAGAACGCAGGACTGGTAAGAGGAATCCTTGCCTTTAACGATGGCTTTGTATTCTCCGGTCCCAGGATGCTTGAAGACCTCCACTTGAACGTTGAGGTATCCGCACGCATCATCGGGTGAGATCATGTCTATAAAGCAGTGGTGAAAAGATGAGTGAGAAGACGCAGCAGCCAAGATGGCATCCATCCCAATATGCATCTCAAATTGCCTGTTGAACGAACTAGCTTGAATTAATTCACGCTATCTCTTCCCACTGCAGTTGGAAAGACAACCAAGTCACCTTACTCCTACTGGTTAACTACACATTGTAAGTAGTTGTAATAGCAGACGCACCCATGATGAAGATTTCGGTGGTGACGTAGTCCTTGAGAAGAGTGTCTGTGGTCTGCGAATAGAGCGCCAATGCCTGCTGCAGGTTGTGCAGTTCAGGCGAGCGTTGAAGGAAAGAACGTTTGAGGCCGCGACCACCAGCGTGAAAATAAACCTGCACAGTATCCAAGCAGTTGGTCAGGACCTCGCATTGGTAGGGCGTGAGGTCTCTACTCCCCACTAAACTCTCCCCGGCAAAGTCCTATGGTCGAAATGCTCCGTTGAGGCAACAAGGAAGGAAGGTGAATGCAGAAGCAGAGTAAGAGGGAGACACCAGCCCCTACCTGAAGAATTTTTGCGGCAGACACATTTTGTCCCACGTGGCTCAGCAGACTCTGCGCCCCACCAATCAGCTTGGCGGAGGCTGTGCCTTTGGGCCCAACCAATACAGTTGGGAGTGCCTGTAGACGACGAGAAAATCAGTTCCACTTACAACATCACAATCAACTGACTGATTGCTCCGTTTCAGTGCTGTGCTTTAATCAAAGTGGGCGGACTAATGCATATTACCTGTCCTCCACAAAGACTTTAATCAGCATAGACGAATCAGTCGGTTGTCAATACAATGTGATTGAAAAGTGGGGTGATATTTAGTGAGGCAATTTGAAATGGAATTGGATCTCACGTTGTGTGAAGGTGAAATTAAATATCACGATATCGGGATGCGATGAGAGGGGCCACGCAAATGTCAATCGCCACTTAATTTCATCGGCATTTTCTAGCTAAAATTTGCAGACAATCATGCAGAGTTCTTTGAAAGACTGCAAGAAGGGTAAGAGGAATGCAGCACTGAATTCAACCCCTTTTGCACGAGGCCTACAGACACACAGGAGGAGAGACAAGCAGACAGATTGTAGTTGAAGAAGAGGGGAGAGGTGGATGATCCGCACCTGCTTGGTGTCCGACACGCCTGGCAAAACGACTAGTTTTTCTGTGTTCTCCATGGTGATGCGCCAAAGTTCCTGCAGGACAAAAGAGAAGGGACACTTTCAAGCAAAGGTCGGAGAAGTAGGAGCAAGATTTGGAAGGTGAGGCTACTTTCGGCGTCACAGTACCTTGAGCAGGCGTTTCAGCACAGTCTTTTCACACAAACTGGCCTGAGCTGACAGCACCAACTCAAAGTAGTCCATGAGGGGGCGCAGACAGTTTTCGCAATCGGCTTCCATTCCCTCGGCACTGCCACCGCCAGAGGTGGTCTCTTTACACTACAGAGAGGAAGGAGAAAGGAGCGAAGGAAGCAAAAATATGACGTCACAGCAGCCGGTTGGTCATTCACCTACCCCCTGTAGTAGACGGCCCATTTCCAGCACGCTCCTTTGAATATCCTCCTCAAACTCACCAGCAAAGGCGAAGACAAGCAGATCAACGGCGTTCTTTAAACGCACCTGCAGTTTTGTCAGTTGTTCCCGCGTCTCCTCATGAAGGTTGAAGCTACATGAGGCTATTCACTCTTACCGACTGTCGCATTAGAGCATTGAGCACACTGTAGAAACTCACTCTTCACCCTCCATCGCCTCGTACACCTTTTCCAGTTGGACGCGTAGCTGTTGAGTGTTGTTGATGAGGATGCATGCGGTGCGAGCATCGCTTTTGAATTGGGCAAAGTCCAGCTGAACGCTCTCCGAGTAGGCCAACAGCACCTTTTCCACAGTCTGAAAGGAATCCACTCCGCCAGTGCTTTGTTGGAGCAGTCCTACCACCGCCTACACCCTTGTACCTTTCTCGCCTTACTTATTTCATGCTTGTGCATTTGACAGCAAAGCCTGATATTATGACTGCAATCAAGTTGCTCTTAACTCAGGAGGATTCCACATTTTCAGCAACACCAAGTACGACGTCAAGAGTTTGTCCAACGAGGAATGCGACTGCAGCGAGCCGCATCTACCAAAGCAGACACGAATGCTTCCAGGCTGGCAGCACCCTTACTCTTGTCCCATCAAGACCCTTCGCAAGTTTTCGCCCTTTAATAAAGTACATTCAATAATTCCCCCAACTGCCTAGCCCACTCGAGAGCCTGGGGCAATCCGTGGCTGGACGACTGGTTCATTCAAATGGTTTCATCGTAAAGGATGAGTAGGTTAGCCATAATTACCAATAGACTACACACTCTACTGCAAAGGCAGTAAAAGATTCCACCTGACATCCCATTGTTGCATGTTCAGTAAATTTCAGAAGACTCTAAGATGGGCAGACTGCTGGAAGGATATGTGGATGGATCTACGGTGAATACATGAATTAAAAGATGGGCGGAAAGCGGAGGGGAGGATGGTTGGAAAAGTATGCGAAGGAGGGGGGAGAAGATGGGGCGCAAAGACAACTGACCTGAGCAAAACGGTGCATGTAGTTTGCCTCCACATCTCGATCCGGGCACTCCAACTTCCTAATTACATCGAAGCATTGGTTGAGTTGCGTGAACACGTCCACCACGGAGTTGGAGTAGAGTGCATGCTCACTGGAACGTTGAAATCCGTCACGCTTGTCCCTCTCATAGGCGTTACGCAGGTAATTCTCCGACACCTCATCATTCTCGCTTAGCCACAGCATCACTAACGGTTCGAACCACCTACATAAAAAAGCAACAAAAACTGTCATTTCGGCTCCTACTTATCTCCCATCCAAAAATCACTCAGTGTAACACTAACTGCTCTCCTTGCTCATCCGCTTTCATTCAAGAAGATTACCCATAAAGGTAACGATGAAAACAACAGGAATCATAGCTTTTGAAAAAGATTCAAAGAAGGCGGCAAGTGATAAAGGGAGGAAAGGGAACTCACTTCGGATACTCCGGATCATCCTCTTTCCGGTTCCACCGACTTGGTCTCACGTAGGTGTTGTAAAACCATTTGATACGGAAGCAGAGGTTGAGGTAGTCCGAGGTCTTGATCTTTGCCTTCGAGAGGCGCGTGGTGGTAATCTGTTCTCCCGTCTGCTCCACAGTCGCCACAGCCATTGAGCGTTTCTGCCTCAACGACGTCGTGATGGTGGGTGTT